CTTAAAGATGAGTTAATAAAAATAAAGCACTTTGAAAATAGCAAATGATCAGTAAAAGTTAGCTATGATCTCGTTTTTCCCCACGACTCTCTATTCTATAACCTGCTTAATTTTTATAGCACTTATAACTATTTAATATTCTTATTTCTTTAATTTTTGAAATGTCTGTTGCCCCACTAGACTGTAACCTTCAAAAGCACAAAGACTGTCTGACTTGTTCTCCACTCCAGGTCCCAGAACAAATTCCAGAAAATGGTAGATGTTCCAGTTGTTTAATAAATCAATATCTTTAACTCTAAAGCTTTTTAAAAATATTAATTAATTTATTTTTATTATGGTGACATTGGTTAACAAAATCCAGTAAGTTTCAGGCGTACAATTTAACACTAAGGCATATATATATTGCATTGTGCGTTCACCGCCCGTAGTTAGATTTCTTTCTGTCACCCCATATTTGACCCCTTTTACCCCATCTACTTGCCTTTATAACTCTCGTTTAGCAATTCCAGACATTAGTCTAAGAACATCATTCAATTTTAAGTTAACTAAATCAACTGTTTGGGGAGTGCATACAAAATATTTTGGAGTACACATTTTTTTAAATAAACAACTCCATCTTAAAAGTTTACTACTTTGAGAAACCACTTTAAGCAAACAACTCTTTTTGAGGAAAACAATAAAGATATTGGAATAGAATAAAGTCTCGATGCCCATACGTTCTAAGCAATTTCGTAATATAAAACATAAGTTCTGATTTCAAGTCTAAAAAAGCATATTTTGTCCTGAATATTTAAACATCGAAGGATAAACTGGAAAAGGATAAAGAGCCACTGGAGGGGACAGACACACGAACCCACGCTTTCTGAGATCTGAGTTAGGGGAACTCATGTAGACTGACTGCAGTCTAAGGCTGATGGTCTTGAAGCCCCGTAAGCCTCAGGAGGGAGGAGCGCCTGGGCTCACACAGAGGCCTACGGTTCAACCTGGATGCAATGGAATCTTCCTTGAAGTAATAACCCTTTATGGCAGGATGTACCCATGGTCACGAGAGAGCAAATGCTTTCATATAGCACTTGTCATCTCTTCTCACAACTGTTTCCATAGACTTTTAGCCGGTATGCCTGCGTCTAATTCCTGCTCTGTCGCATCCATCGCCCTCGCTGGTCCCAGAATTCTCATTATACCAAAGATCAAATCATGTCGCTCATCTTCCATCTGGCCCTAGCCTCCCCTTTCATCGTCTTACCACACCGCTCTCCCCGACATACCCAAACCAGCCAATTCCCAAACATGTCATGAACACCCCTTCCCTGTGACTTTGCTCATGCTCTAACCCGGGCATGAAAGCTCTCCTGCTCTGAATGAACGGCTCGTACCCACATCTGCACGAGGCCTAGCTCAAGCCTCATGTCCAGGAACCTCTCTACCAGCTCACAAGGCAGAAGTAACTGTTTCTTGCTCACTGTCCCCAAAGCACTTAGCACCCTCTCAGTTCTTGTGTAGGTATCCCAAAAGAGACTGCATGCCTCATCAGTCTTTATAATCTCAGGAGCGCGACACAGAGACTGGCACTAGTAGACATTCAATACACATGTATGGGATTTAACTTAATATATTTACTCAAAATAGACAGCGCAACTTTAAACCATTACTAGTTCCCTAGACACACACACATCCCTTTTGAGAGTCCTGGAAATCCAAAGTAGTGGATTTGCATATTCCAAATCAAAACTCCATTTCCTTTTTGAGTCGCTTAAGTCCCTGCTTCTTGTTGAATCCAGGAATCATCTCATTGTCCAACCCCCACCTGAAACTTTACAGTTGGTTCCAACCACCTTCTTTTGGAATTACAGTCACCAAAATACCTGCAACGTCAATATAAATATTTCAAGTTACAAAACAAAATACCAAAACAAAAACTCTTATTAATCCTGCTGTGGGAGGGTAGGCTTGCCCCCACTGTACTGCAGCACAGACAGAAAAGGGCCCAGCACAGACCTCCTCCACGCCTCTTCTCCTCTGCGGGCTATGCTGAAGCACACCCCCAGGAGAAAAGAACTCAAAGGCATTCCTCTTCCTCCTTCACTGCGAGGATCTAACGGAACAATTTTATTGCCACTCTCTAAGATGGGCTCCAAGAAACCACCTCGAAAAGAATCAAATTTTGTGAATACTTACTTACCGTAAGAATAAAATTTAAACTGGCATCTGCCTACCAGTTATTTTAAGAAGATGACTGGTGACTGATGACTTTAATTCGAGTTCAACAAGTGGGAATACAATGCCTTCTGGAATGCTTATCTATGTGTCTGGTTTTCTGCCTGTTTCTCACTCATGAAATAATGGGCCAAAATCACAAAATAACACAAAAGCACCTGATAGTAGTATAGGTAGTAATAGCCTAAGGGATCAGTGGAAAGGTATGCTGTAAGAAATGTATTACTAATAATAAAGTAACAAAGATAGTGATTCCTGCTTTCGTATATAAATTAGACAGAGTCAAGTGTACTCCTATGATAATACCACTCACTTTTCAGAGTTACAGCACTCTGAATATACATACCATTGTGCGTTTTTGGTTTTTTGTGAGCTTTTTTTTTTTTGGAGCATATGAACTTGTCAACACATCATTTGTGGCTCAGAATAAAAGGTTGTGAGCCAGTCATCAGTGGCTCCCAGACTTTGGAATTTCAAAGCTCATTAAAAGATCTTGCAAGAAAGAATTAGGAAGGCTTGCAGCAGACACTGAAGTTCTCCTAGAAAATTTTTATGGTAGATAAACTCTCTCAAACAATTCAGACTTTGACCATTATTAATGAAGCCAAATTAGAATTCTGGTAGTCTGAACCCCCAAGGCAGTTCGAAAGAAAGTTACCACTTGGATCCCAGCAGGCATCACCCCTTCTCCTCCGTCTGATGCCTCCACTTTAGTGGGTACTCCCTTTGCTTCCTACCATGGCTGAGCTGGGCAATGCAGCTGCCACACCCACAAGCTGCTGGTCCTCTTGAGACCTTAGGCTATCTAACCAGATCAGGGCAACAGTCAATCAACTACAGCAATTTGGAATCTTTAAGATTGCCAAAATATTTCTTTTTGGTTAATATGACAGGTCACCAATGCTTACGAGTTTACCAATTCTGCTAAAATGAAAAAATATATATGAACAACTGAAATATTTACAAATCAAATGATATCGATAGCACGTCTAGAATTTCAAAATGGTAGAGGGGAAACAAGGGTATAAATAAGATAAGATTGGCCATGTGCTGATAAATTTTGAAAATGGAGAATGGGTACATGGGAGTTCAATATATTGTTGTATTATACTACTTTTATATTTGTTTGAAATTTGCCAAAATTAAAAGTAAAAAATAAGCATGAAGTCGAGTTTAAAAGAAAACTATTAAAATGCAATCTACACAGTGCATAGCAATGACTAAATATTTTCTTACTTCCTCATGTGTTGTAGTCCCACAGTACAAAAGCAGATCAAGTCTCAGAGGCATTTATCTTGGCCCCTTTACTAAAGCAGCTTGATTACAGAGATGTCATTAAGGTTTTTGTTAAAGTCAAAAAAAAAAAAAAGGAAATTAAGGCACCTTTTGAGATTCAGCACAGGTTGCAAAACACAAAAGATGCAAGCTTTTCTAGTTTTTTGTATATCCGATTCAACAGAAGCTTTGTAAAGATTTCTGCTATGCAAAAACAGGCAAAACACAACAAAATAAAAAATGCTCTAAATTTGCCATACGCATAGAGGAAGACACATTAGCAGGTAAAGCTAATCCTTCAAAAGAAGGCGGCATAGCAACAGTGGGTAACGAAAAAGGCGGCTTACAGTCATTTAGCTTTTGAACTTTTGACCTCCTCCCAAAATGTCACGAAAGAATTTCTAAACCTTGAGACTAGAAAGAATGCTTTCTTGAAATCGTTTCATAAAACACTATTTACTATATATGCGTTTAGCCACCGGGCCCAAGGTACAAAACTAAAAAGTATGTTCTAAAAGAGATGCAAACTGGATTAAGAAAAATATGTACAAATTAGGGCAATAACAAACAGCTAGTCTAGAACCACTGGAAGTGCGCGCCTATCGAGCCCTCTTCTCCACTACACTGTTTTCTCTTTTGTTGAGGATCAGACTTTCTTCTGTCCTCCTCCTGTCCCTTCTTTCCTTCAACGCACAAAATGACCTGAAGTGCTCCGGGAAGGATATTTAAAACGAAATCTACAGCTCTGCTTTGCACAGAAACGCCGCCTTAAAACTCAACTAGCACCAGAGCGCCAGACGCGTCCGCCCTGGAAAGGACGTCCGGGGACGGCCGCGCACCTGAACCGCCAGCTGCCGCCGCTTCCCGCGGTAGAGCCCGTTGCCACCTGATGCTACCTGAATCCTCTCTTTCGACTTCTCTCCGGCTCGCACGCATTGCCCCGGCCCGAGCAATGCGCAAAAGATGAGACTCGCAGACCCCGAAGCTGCCGCGAAGCCGAGCCTC